AAGGAGACAGATATGCAAAGGAGACAGATATATAAAGGAGACAGATATGCAAAGGAGACAGATAAATAAAGGAGACAGATATATGAAGGAGACAGATAAAGGAGACAGATATATAAAGGAGACAGATAAAGGAGACAAGAGACGACAAACGGAGACAGATAAAGGAGACAGCTAAATAAAGGAGATAAATAAAGGAGACACATAAAGGAGACAAATAAAGGAGACACATAAAGGAGACAGATAAATAAAGGAGACAGATAAAGGAGACACACCAGCATCCCAGATGGTTCCCGCTTCATCATCTGCAACAGTTGCCGTGTTGAAGTCTGCTAGCTGCAGCAGCACCTCACTCTCGTCAATCATATACCTGCTGCTGCTGCTGCTGCTGCTGCTGCTGCTGTGGCTGTTGCTGTTGCTGAAGTTGTTGTTGTTGCTGCTGATGCTGAGGTTGTTGTTGCTGTTGCTGGAGGATACGGTGGGTGAGTTTGAAGGTGTCTGCGTTGTCTCTGCTGCTGCAGCGTTTGCTGCTGCTGCTGCTGCTGCTGCTGCGGCTGCTGGCTTAGCAGGTCCTTGTGGGGCTGTGCGGCTGTCGCGAGTTCTCTTTCTATCTCTGCGTGTTTGTGTCTCCTGCTGCTGCTGCTGCTGCTGCTGCTTGTGTCCCTCGGCTTCTTCATCGGACTCGCTGTCGCTGCTGCTGCTGCTGCTGCTGCTGCTGTATTCTGTGGGGAAGGCAGCTGCATCAAGATGTCCAGCAGCAAGGGCTTCTGATAGCGGCATATGTCTTTCCTTCTTGTGCAGGTTTGCTGCTGCTGCTGCTGCTGCTGCTGTTGCTGCTGCTGCTGCTGCACTGTTGGGTGGGGGTTTAGCAGCAATAAGGGGCAGAGGAGGTAAAGGGTTTTCTTCTGCTTTTTCAAGTGCTGTTTTTATCTCTTTTAAATAATCAAAGTCAACAGAGACAGACGGCGTAGAGGTAAAGAGAAAGCTGTCTGCATTTGTCTCTTCGTCTCCTTCTTCTTCTTCTTCTTCTTCATCATCTGTCTCCAAATAACCTCCTTCAAGGCAGACACCACCCTCTACGTTGTGCTGCTGCTGCTGCTGCTGCTGTCGCTGATGCTGCGGCAGCCAGACGCGGCAAGCAAAGGCTGAGGAGACACACAGCAGCAAACTGCATCTCTTTTGCTGTCTCCTAACTGCAGCAGAAGCTGCAGCAAAACCGGACAATCGATTGTCCTCCTTTCTGCTACTACTACTGCAGCAGCTGCTGCAGCACTAGCAGCAGCAGCAGCAGCAAATATGTGTCTCCTTCTTACAGGTGGGGAGAGGCTTCAGCAGCAAAATATTTGAGGGTTTTATATCCTTGTGATATACGCGATAAGAATGCAGCACGGACGCACCCATTAATAGCTGCAGCAGCAGCAGCAGCAGCAACAACAGCAGCAGCAAATGCAGCAGAAGCAAGAGCAATTGAAGCAACAGATGCAGCAGCAACAAAAAGAACGCAGCGAGAAATACAAACAGCAGCCGCAGCAGCAACAGCAGCAGCAGCAAAAATGCAGCAGGAACTGCAGCATAAACTCTAGCAGCAGCAACAGCAGCAAACAGTGGTTTGTTGTTATATTTTAAATACGCAGCAAATAGAAGAGGGCTTCCGCTCTAAGATACAGACAAACAAAAGAAAGGAGACAGAAACAAACAGAGACAGAAAGGAGACAGAAAGGAGACAGAAAGGAGACAGAAAGGAGACAGGAGGAGACAGAAGGAGACAAAAAAAAAGTAAAGGAGACAGAAAGACGCAGAGAGGAGACAAAAGGAGACAGCTGGGAGACAAAAGGAGACAAAGAGAGACAAAGAGAGACAAAAAGGAGACACAAGGAGACAGAAAGAGACAAAAGGAGACAGAAAGAGACAGCTGGGAGACAGGAGGAGACAGAAGGAGACAAAAGGAGACAGAGAGAGACAAAAGGAAGACATAAAGGAGACAGACAGGAGGCAAAAGAGAGACAAAGAGAGACAGAAAGAAGCAGAGAGGAGACACAAGGGGACACAAGGAGACAAAAGGAGACAGGAGGAGACAGAAGGAGACAAAGACAGACACAGAGAGACAGAAAGAAGCAGAGAAGAGACAGAAAGAAGCAGAGAAGAGACAGAAAGAAGCAGAGAGGAGACACAAGGATACAGAAGGAGACAAAAGGAGACAGGAGAAGACAGAAGGAGACAAAAGGAGACAAAAGGAGACAGAAGGAGACAGAGAGCAGCACCTGTTTGATGAGTATCTTCGCTCCTTCCTCTGAATATAAAATTATCGGCTGACAGCCGCAAGAGACACAATCCACACAAACATGCCCACACTCTGTAAGCTGCTGCTGCTGCTGTTGCTGCTGCTGCTGCTGGTCTTGCTGCTGCTGCTGCTGCTGGTCTTGCTGCTGCTGCTGTTGCTGGTCTTGCTGCTGCTGCTGCTGCTGCAGGTGTTTGTTGGTCAGGACGAAGCCTGCAGCAGCTTTGCTCCAGGCTAGAAGAGTGCTGTGTCTGTGCGGCAGCAGCAGCAGCAGCAAACCAGCAGCACTATCAACAACAACTCCTAATAGAGGACAGATAAGCGGATGGAGGAGAGACGCATGCAGCAGCATTTCACACTTCACCTGAAGCAAGCACAACATAAACACAAACTCAGCCTGCTGCTGCTGCTGCTGCTGCTGTGGTGGTGGTGGTGGTGGCGCTGCTGCTGCTGCTGCTGTGTTGCTGCTGCTCGTGCTGCTGTGCTGCTGCTGCACAGCAACAGCGACAATTTGTGCAGCACCCCCAGCAGCAGCAGCAACAGCAAAAGCAGTAGCAGCAGAATTGCAACTGGAGCAGCAGCAGCAGAACAGCAGCAGCAGCAGCAGGAGCAGCAACGTCGAGAGCACCACCACCACTAGACACCTCAACAGCCACAGCAACACCAACAGCAGCAGCAGCAGCAGCAGCAGCAACAGCAGCAACAGCAGCAGCAGCAGGATTACTCGCTGCCACTCTGTAAGGACTTGAACATCTTCAGCAATAAAACAGGCGGTGCGAAGACGACGAAGAGAATGCAATAAATAACGCTGAGACCACAAACCCTAAACCCTAAACCCTAAACCCTAAACCCTAAACCCTAAAGACTGAAGTTTGGGCAGCCCTGCCAGGGCAGAGAACATATATATACAAGACAGACACACTAGCAGCAGCAACAGCAGCAGCGGCAATAGCAGCAGCAACAGCAAGAGCAGCAATAGCAGCAGCAGCAACAGCATCAACAACAGCAGCAACAGCAGCAACAGCAGCAACAGCAGCAGCAGCAGCAGCAGCAGATTCTGTCTTCTCACTTTTGCAGCAAGAGACTGAGGAGATTTAATTGTTGCTGCTCTTGAAATGCAGCAGATAGATCCCCGGGCTAGCCCCCCACCTAAGGAGACACCTCCTAAGCAATTCACCCTGCTGCTGCTGCTGCTGCTGCTGCTGCTGGGGTAGTCTTCAGCTTCATCGTCTGTGCTGCGACTGCTGCGGCTGCTGCTGCTGTCTTCTGCCTCTCCTGCTTCTGCTGTTCCATCTGCTGCTGCTGCTGCTGCTGCTGCTGCTGCTGCTGCTGCTGGGGGATGAGGTTTGTAGGCGCGCAGCTGCCAGCGCCGGGGCTTCCATAAGAGCAGCGGCTGCTGCTGTCTGCTGCTGCACCGCTGCAGCAGCTGCTGCACTGCAGCATCAGAGAAGAACGGGAAGGCATCGCTTCTAGGGGGAGGAGGAGAGCTGCTGCAGTCTGCTGCTGCTGCTGCTGCTGCTGCTTCTGTGCCTTCCGCAGCAGCAGCAGCATCAGCAACAGCAGCAGCAGCAGGGGCCTCCAGAAGAGAAGAGTCAGCTCCGTGCATGCTAACTGAAGGAAGCGAAGGAGACAAAAGGAGACAGAAGAGAGACAAATAAATGAAAGAGAGGGCGGAGATAAAGAAAGGAGACAGTTTAAATAGACAAATAAAACAAATAATAAATAGAGGCACAGAGAAGAGACACAGGGAAGAAAAGAAAAAGGAGACAGAGAAGATTCGGCTCGGGGCCCCAGGGCGAGAAGGCAGCAGCAGCAGCAGCAGCAGCAGCAAAAGATGCTGCAGCAGCAGCAAAAGATCTTAGCCGGTGCAGCAGCAAAAGTTGCTGCTAGAATAAAAAAGATAATTCAAATAATAATTATAAATATAAACAAATACTGCATGCAGCAGCACTGCACAGAGGGGCCCCCTGCAGCGGGGGGTGTAGACCCAGTACGAATAAAACAGCAGCAGCAGCAGCAGCAGCAGCAGCAACAGCAGCGGCAGCAACAGCAGCTAGACAAAAAAATATTGATGAAATAGACTATTAGTCTTGATTTATTTGCTGCATTTTCTTCTTCTTTTTACTCCTTCAAATCATCTGCTGCTGGGGGGCCCCTAAAGACAGGTTGGTGGTGCTGCTGTGTTGCAGCTGCATGTACACCCGAATGCTGCAGCATTTTCTTTGCTCTTTTGTCTTTTCTTGCTTCTCTACACCCTCTTTTAAACCCTAGGACTGTCTGAGGGCCCCCTTCTTTGTGCTGAACCGTCAGTGACTGTCAGCCGTTGCTGCAGCAGCTGTAGCTGTAGTAGCAGCAGCAGCAGCAGCTGCTGCTGCTGCTGCAGCTGCTGCAGGCACTGCTGGTGCGAGTGCAGCAGCAGAGACTGCAGCCGAAACAGCGCCATAGCCCAGTGCAGCATCGACAGCAGTAGCAGCAGCACCAAACAGCGGCAGCAGCAAGCAGCAGCAACAGCAAACAACAGCAACAGCAACAGCAGCAGCAGCAACTGCAGCAAGGAGGATACGATGGAGGCAGCAGACATCTCTCAGAAGCGGCTTCCTCCTTGCGAGGGGATGGAGACACCTTTAAGCGCAGGCGAAGCAGCAACAAGCTGCGGCAGTGCTGCTGCTAGCGGCCCCTGCAGCAGCGGCAGCAACAGCAGCAGTAGCACGCGGAGCAGCAGCAG